TCCGAACCCCCAGGCTCGGCACCCCCAGGCTCAGCACCCCCAGACTCAGCACCCCCAGACTCAGCACCCCCAGACTCAGCACCCCCAGGCTCAGCACCCCAAGGCTCCGCGCCCCTGAACTCAGCACCCCCAGGCTCAGTAACTCTAGACCCGGCACCCGCAGGCTCAGCACCTCTAGCAGCACCAGAGTCAACAGGTACCTTGACAGGCTCGACTGCGTCTACTTGGGACACACCTGACGGGGCAGGACCCTGAGGGGGGAGGGGGTCTACCGGGGGAGGACCTGGCGCAAGGAAGAGCGGCTGCGGGGGGGAGGGCGCAGTCCGGTAGGGGAAGAGACGGTAGTAAGGCACCGACTCGTCAAAGGTGACGTCCTGGGAGGACAAAACACGGCGCGAGGTGGGGTGGTAAAACTGCCACCCAAGCGCGTCAGGGGGGAAGCCAAGGAAGACGCAGGGAACAGCACGAGAGGACAACTTGTCCGCAGACAAATCGCGGACAAACGCCCGAGATCCCCAGACGCGGAACGCAGACGCATCGCCAACCTTCCCCGTCCACCGCAAGGTGGGGGAGGTCTCTGACAAGGAGACCCTGGGCTGAAGGTTGAGCTGATGCGCTGCGTACTGAACCGCAAACGGCCACAGAAAATGGGGGGCAGCCGCATGGATCATGGACGTACGAGCGACGTCCATGACCATGCCAATGCGGCGCTCAGCAATCCCATTTTGTTGTGGAGAGGTCGGAAGTGTGAAGGTCTGGCGGATGCCCTGTGCACGACAGAAGGCTCCCAGACGGGCAGAGGAAAACTCCCCGCCTCTGTCAGAGTGCAGACGCAGAATAGGATAGTCGGAGCCGAAACTCTCTCTGAGCTGGAGACGAGCTGCGCGGATCAAGTCGATCAACACCTCAGCGACGTCACCCTTGCTCCGCAAGGGGAACACCGTGGTGTAACGCGAGTAGTCGTCAACCACCAACAGGAAGTAACGCTCGTGACCCTGGCCACGGACGCGGGCGGGGCCCCACACGTCCATGTGAAGAGTCTGCAGCGGAGCCTCTGTCGGAGGAAACTCGGAGGAGTGAGGGGCGGCGCGCTGTCGCCCCTCGACGCAGGGGACGCAGGTAGGGGCAGGCCCCGGGGGTAGGGGAGGTAGGGGCCGGGGGAGACCAGAGACAAGGACACGGGAGGCCATGCCTCGGAGACGAGGCAGGGAGGGGTGACCAAGGCGGTGGTGCCAGAGGAGAGTCTGGTGGGACAGGAGACGACACGAGCAAGGCGCAAACACAGGACCAGACCTGGACACTGCAGCAAACACCTGACTCGACGCAGCTACCTGACCAGACTCAGCAACCGGAGGAGACTTAGTAGTCAGTGTGTACAGGCTCGACCCCGGCCGACGTGTAAACGTGGCCAAGTGTCGGCCCGTCCGAGCACACGTGCAGTGGGTCACCTGCTGACTCGCAGGAGTGAACTGGTCAACCCCCCTATCCTGTAGATCAGCTCCACTCACCAAGTTCGTAGAGAACGAGGGGAGGTAGAGACCTGACAGTGTGCCAGAGGGGGCTGCCGAGCACGGAAAGACAGTGGAGAAGCTAGCAAGGACAGGACCCCCAGAGGGGTCCGCCAGGGAGACCGCAACTGGCCGACTAAGCGGCGTAAGCGTGGTGCGGTCTCGAAAGAAGGAGCGGGAAGCACCCGAGTCAAGGGTGAAGGTGTGTAAGGCCTGAGCCGACGTGGTACCTGAGAGAGCAGACTCACCAGCACCTTGGGCCGCAGACGCGCTAGCACCTAGAGCAGCAGCCTCACCAGCACCTAGAGCAGCAGCCTCAATGCCCGGGTTAGGCGGAACACACAGGTAACAGTCACCCTCATCACTAGTAGACACAGCATACATGGCAGCAAGAATAGCATCATAATCAAGATCGAAGAGAGCAACCCCCGCCCTAGACAGCTCTCCCCAGCGAGGGATCTCAGTGGCGTCACGGAACTGGTGACGCCACGCGTCCGTCAGGCGGCCGAAGCAGCGCTAGGTGGAGTGCGGGCCCCCGCACTGCTCACCAGCGCGGTCGTCGGTACGGAGGACGTAGGTGCAGGGACCAGTACCCCCACCTCGCTGACGCCCAGCGTACCACTCACGAAGCTGCTGGGGGGACGGGGTCTCACGACTACGCTGGTGCTGCTGGCGCGAACCACCACCGGAGCCACTCCTCTGCGCAGAGCCGCGACCAGCTCCACCGCTGCCTCCGCCGCCTCTGCCACCTCCGCCGCCTCCGCCACCTCCGCCGCCTCCGCTCCCTCCGCCACCGCCGCCGCCTCCTCCGCCTCCACTGCTGCCACCGACACCTCCACCCCCGCCACCACTTCCACCACCACCCCCACCCCCTCCACTGCCTCCACCGCCACCCCCACCGCCCCCGCCAGCCCCTCCAGCGCCCTTGCCCCCCTTGCCCTTGCCGGTGCGGCATCTCCCGCTAGGGGCAGACGCAGCGCCGACCGACTCGAAACCAACGAGGTCGGCCGCAGCAGCAGAAGCAACAGAGGACAAGAGGGGGGAGGGGGAACACCCCTCAAAGACGGGGATGCGAGGGTTACCACAAGAGGCTCCTACAGCGAATATGCTCTTCTCTGCTGCTAGGAGGCGCTCCTCGATGAGGTCAACAGTGAGTGTGGTGGGGCAAAATGAGAGGAAGTGGTCCCTGACTAAGCGAAGGGAGTCAGGGAGCCGGGTGACTATGTAGTAGAGGGTGATGTACATGGGGGGGGGGTTCTTGGCACAGAACTCGGCAGGAAGCGCAGCGCGGTAGCGAGTGTCACTAGTGCGAAGGTGCGTAATGAGGTCAGCGACTGTGGGAAAGGCAGCAAGGTCAGGGAACAGGTACGGCAGCATGAGGCGGCTAAGCGCAGCAGTGGCAGGGGAGGAGTAGCGTGCAACTACAGCGTCGTACAAGGTCTTAGCACTCTTGTACTGGCTAAAGTGCGCACGCTGAGTGGTCAGTAAGTGGCGACGCACAGCAAGACGGGCAGCAGCATCGCGTGTGGCCCACTGGGAGCGAACAGTGCTGTTAGCAGTAGCAGGCGGGGCAGGAGAGGCACCAGAGGTGAGATTGAGCAGGGAGAGTCCGTCTGCCCTATCGCACTGTAGGAACGGCTGGAGGTCATCGACCCAGACCTCAAAGTCAACAGCACGACCCTCAGCATCAAAGGTAAGGACACTGGGGGTAGCCATGACTGTAGTGGCCTAGCAGGGAGTGATCTCACCAGTCTGAGTAAGTAGGGCCGGGGCGCGCCGGTAGGAACAGTAGCGGCTCGACGACAGGGCGGCTCGGCGGCTCGGCTGGTGGGCGGCTCGGCGGCTCGATTGCTGGGCGGCTCGGCGGCTCGGCTGCTGGGCGGCTCGGCGGCTCGGCTGTTGGGCGGCTCAGCTGCTGGGCGGCTCTGCGGCTCGGTTGGTGGGCGGCTCGGCGGCTCGGCTTCTTTGTGGTTCGGCTGCTCAGCTGCTGGGCTGCTTCGCGGTGAAGGGGCCGGTAGAGGCGGCGACGGGGCCGGTAGAGGCGGCGACGGGGCCGGTAGAGGCGGCGATGGGGCCGTTAGGGGTGGCAACGGGGCCGCTAAGGGCGGCGAGGTGGCCGCGAAGGGCGGCGACGGGGCCTCCAGGGGCGGCGACGGGGCCGCTAGGGGCGGCGACGGGGCCGCAGAGGGGCCGCAACGGGCCTAGAGGGGGCGGCGACGGGGCCGCAAGTGGCGGCGACGGGGCCGCGAAGGGGCCGCGAGGGGCCTAGAGGGGCGGCGAAGGGGTCGCTAAGGACGGCGACGGGGCCGCTAAGGGTGGCGCGAGGGGCCTCTAGGAGGGCGCGACGTGAGGGCGGCCTACAGGGCACGCCTCGGGCAGGAAAAAAAAAGATCGAGTTAGGTGGTGGGCCCTGAGAAGCGTTCCCACGAGGGAACCTGCTCTATACCATGTGAAGAATGAGGAATGAATGAACTAGCAAGGAAGCGGGTACAAGTAGGAAAACCTAGAAATGTTGTACCCCATATAGTCTACCCCACTACAGCCTACACTGTCTATAGCATATAAGTTTGACACTAACTGCCGCTGACGCGCCTGGAATAGCCGAACTGGAGGGGCCGCTACAGATAGAGGTAAGCCCGGTATCTCGTGGCGGATAGTCGCTGGCAGCTGCTCAAGAGCCTTGACAAACCACGGGTCAAGAAACTCTGTCCCTGTCGAAGTGGTGAGGTACTCTGCAAACATCGCCTCCTCACCCGCCACCCCTAACTGTGCGATGTCACGCGCGGCCTGCGCCCACCCACAAACATAGGACAGTGGGCTCAAAGAGGCCGCCGCCCGGATCCCGAACCTGTCAGTAGAGCTACACTGTGAGATCCCCGATCGATCCTAGGGGGGGTTACAGGCGCGTTTGCCTGGGGGGTTATGGGCGCACTGACCCGCTACTGAAACAAGCCCTTTTATCCCAATGGTGTAGTGGTTGGGATTTTGACATGGTATCAGAGCGGTCTCGGGTTCGATTCCCGGTGTATGCACATGTAGGCCGTTGCCGCTGTGCTTAGTCCTGGGCCTCCCAGTGTGGGGGGGTGTCAGTAGATCTGCACTGTGGATGCCCGATTGATCCTGGAGAGGGTTACAGGCGCGTTCGCCTGGGGGGTTATGGGCGCACTGACCCGCTACTGAAACAAGCCCTTCTATCCCAATGGTCTAGTGGTTGGGATTCTGACAGAACCCTCCGAGATGCACAGGGAGATGCAGTTGCACGCGTGCGTGCCTAGACCGGTCGGGGTCCTGCTCCCAAGTGCCAGGTGGGAAAAGCTGCTCAAAGCAATCCTCTAAACAGCTGTCCCAATACCTAATAGCCTTAACCACCTCCGGACGCGACGGCATAGTCGGGGCGAGGTACATCGGCCGCGCTGAAACTGGAATGGCGAGGAGGTGTGAAGCCATCTGGGGGTGGTCGAGCAAGGGGAGCCATGGCAGTGGCGCCCGCAACTATCGAAGCCGCTTCCGTAGCCGGACCACCTCCCAAACCTCCTCCCCTATAGGCATGCCCACCACAGTAAGACCCTCATCCACCCGCTGCATCCCCAATGGCAGTGCCCGCTCCACCTCCTTGCCCTCGCGCTCCCAAAACCGGCACTTGTGCGCCTGCACCTCCAGCCCCACCCACTCCAACCGCTCCCGCAGCACCCCAAAAGCCTCCAAAATCCTAGCCGCTGGCCCCAAAATATAGGTATCGTCTGCATAGATGAGGAAAAGCAGGTCCTTGAACTCCCTAGTAACCGGCTCCATCACCTGCTGCTGCGTGAACGCGAAAAGAAAAGGGCCGAGCGGGTCCCCCTGCCTCGATCCCCGTGCTGACTCGAGGCTCTGTACGAAAGGGCCTGCTCGGAGGTACAGGTCGCTAGGTGTCCCATAAAAGACACGCAAGAATGGGATCATCCCTGAGAAAGGCGACTCCCGCAACCCATCGAATATCACATGACGGTGAAACGAATTGAAGGCGATTGCGACGTGTATCTGTAGCGCACACCAGTCGGGGTGAGTGGCCAGCGCTGACCGGAAAGAATGAGCGAGAATCTCCGCCCCGACCCTGGTGCCCGCTCCCAGCTGGTTGCACGGCAGGAAGTAGGAAACCATCGGAGGGCGGAGCAAGATGTAGAGAGCTCGAGCAAGGATACGAAGAAGCACCTCCCCGATCGCCACCGGCCGGACGTCGCCGTTAGGCTTGGAAAGCTCGACTAGGTTGGATGCGGCGAGCCACGGCCGAGCCCGCTCGGGGACCTGTCCCGCCACCCATTGGTTGAACACTTCCAACAGGTGGGAAAGGCACGAAGGTTCAGTGAGGAAGGTGTCGCGCAGAGGCTCTGTGACCCACCCCGATGGCCCTGCTGCTGAAGCTCGAGTGGCTGTATGGATAGCTCTGGCCAGGATGTCGGTCGTGAGTGAAGGCCGCTGAGCAGTATCGACGGTGAAATCGCGGACCCACTGTGGTACCTCGCCAGTGCTAGCCGGGTGTTTCTCTCGCAGCGACTGCACCATGGCCTCAGACGGTCGAGCCAACTCCCCTGCTGTAAGGCAGGCCAATCCACAGCTCCACTCCCCCACTTTGCATCGAGATCAACACCGTGACAGGCGGATGGCATCCGGGTCCTGGTCAGAGCAAGTGTAGGAAAGTGGGCGAAGTGCCGGCCGCGCCGCCACCATGGCAGAGTCGAACAGCTCCCGCCACCTCCCCTCCCAGAACGCACCCAACCGCTCTGTGATCAGCGCCTTCTGACCTATGCCTGGCTTGGGAGGCACGGCTAGGATGAGGCGCGGAAACGCCAAGAGTAGGAGGGTAGCGGCTTCATCTCCCGGTTGGCTCTTCAAGCGCTTTTGGATGCAACAGAGCGCGTCTAAGACCCCCGACCTGGCCCCCTGTGGGATCCGGCGCACTGTCCTCCCTCCAACCGCCTTCACACTGAAAAATGTTTCCCATTCCCAAGAAGTTAATGCTTTTGTTTGTACATTTACCTCCTCCTTATTATTGAGTTTCTCTTTATATCACAGAGTCGATGTATAAAGGATATAGAGTCGTGCTTAGAAATTAAATAAGCACGATAATTTACTTCATATATTGAATCAACAATACAAAGAGTAAATCCAAAATGCTCCGCAACCCTAAGATGATTTCATCGCCTCTTGTTTTTTTTTTTTGTCTGGAACCAGCATAGTATTTGGTTTGTATTGGCGGTGTTCGCCAACACATTTCTAAGCAAAAACGAGGGGATGACGACGGGATCAGGAAGGCTCGCCTTCCTGATCCCGTCAGTTAGGGTTCGTTAACCCCCGTCAGCCTGGTCAGCCCGTAAAAATGCTGCCGAGCCTCTTATGCCGTCCGAACCTCTTAGAAAGGTGAGGGCGTGGCGAACACCCCCATTTCGAAATGCTTGACCGCATATGGAAACGGGGTCGCAGTTTCCTCCCTCTGGCAAAAACCATCCCCCTGCGATGCCATTGCCATTCACCTATCCACGGTGAATGGCGATGGCATGGCTGTGGCATTGCATGGCAGAGTGGAACTGCGGAAGGTGGGGCTGGGGGTTCTACATGCGGTTGCGGATTTTCCCGTTTAGGGAATCGAAGTTTCGCGAACCGCATTACGCCCAGACCTCTTGGGCGGGTTCCGCCCCCATTTCCAGATGCGGTCACCATGCCGATACCGTCAAAATGCCATCTATTTTCGAATGTGCTGCCATCTATTGGCCCTTCATCGCCCAGACACTCGTACAATATTCGCCACTGTTCGTGCGAGGATTTCGTTAGCTCGCAATCGAACGCATACCTCGCTCAAATGATCGTTGACCCAAAGTTGGAGATTGGTGACCAGAAGTGAGTGAAATGGCCCGCAATCGCATTATTGGAACGAAGCGCTTGGATTGGAAGTTGGATGGGTTGGTTTGGAACTCGCTCTGTAGAAACGACAACGAAAATATCTCATCTGGTACTTTTCTTCTGGTCCACGTGGCTCCGCATATGGTCGCTCGTGTCAGCCGATTTTTAAGGTGCGTGTGACGTGGACCTCGTCGTGGATTACGTATGCCTGCCTGGGCTCCTCTGATTCGGCGCGTGAGATAATGCACACCCTTTCCATCTGCCAGGGACTTGGCAACGGTGCGGCGGAGGGAACGAGGTGGCGAGGCGTGAAGGTTGGAAGGAATACAGTACACCCTGTTTCTCGACCCTCTCACCTTGCGCGATTCGCTGCTACAGTGCGGTCAGGTGCCATAAACCGTATGGCTGAAACCTGCGGGCAAAGCCGCACCAGCTGACGGAGTGGTACTGGGGGCAAAATTTTTCTTTATCGCTGTATACCCTTTTTAACCGCTTAGAAACGCTTGGTTAATGTTCTTTACCATGCAGCATCCTAGCTAACCGCTTTCTTGTGAATGTGCTTGTACCGTCGGTGATAAGACCATTTCAAACGTGGTGACGTTCTACAACCAGCGCATGTTCTGCAACCAGATGCTCTGCTAGCGCGAAACAGGGTGTACGCCCACTGTTCGATCGTCCTTGTCTGTTCTGGGCCAGCATAATTGGTTTTGTCCGTATGTTCCCCAATTGACAAAGGTGCTCTAGATTTTGGGAGTGCAAATGCTGGGTTTACCGGGTTGTTGTTGGGTGGGTGTTGTCAAGTTGGAGTGGAGGCACGAGTCTCGTCGGATTCCAGCAGTACAGCTCTTAAGTCTCCATCAAACTCCCTCCTTCCTGAGGGTACATTCCGGGCTCTGGGCAAACCTCTGGGCAAACCTCTGGTCAACACTGTAGACAGCCATACATTTAACACAATTGGTAAGAAATAGGTGTGATTTCGGTTGACCAGAGGTTTGACCAGATGTTCTGTCCAGTGCCCCGAATTTACCCTGAATATCAGTGGCTTCAACCACGCAACCCTAAACTTCGCACACTTGCTCCACTTTAGCGCGGTGACAGTTGCTCCACTCTGCCATATTCTGGGGACACCCGGACGAATCCGAAAACCCAAATAATTATAACCCAGAATGTGGCAGAGTCAGGCCAAATCTCGGCCAATCTGGCTAGGTGTAACTTGTTTAGAGCCTCTTTACTGGAATAGACCCTTTCATGGATACAGAAATACTTGTGCAACTGTTTTCCTCAACCCAATCGAGATATTTTGTGCAAAAAAAACCTATTCAGGAACAAAAACATTTAGGGGAAAGGACTATTGTCCCTACTGACCGAAAACCACCCATAAGTAGGTCGCAAAATCCAGCACTTAATCTCTTGGAAAAGCAAAGCGAATGCCCTGGTACTGTATCTACAGCTCGCCAGCTCTCCAACAGCGCGGTGCGAAAGGACGGCTTCCTCTTAGGCAAAGAATAGAGTTTGCTGCTGCCGGAACTTCGGGAATCCCAACTGAAGGAACTGCAGGTCGAAGATATGAAATGTGTCTACACCCTGTTTCTCGACCCTCTCACCTTGCGCGATTCGCTGCTACAGTGCGGTCAGGTGCCATAAACCGTATGGCTGAAACCTGCGGGCAAAGCCGCACCAGCTGACGGAGTGGTACTGGGGGCAAAATTTTTCTTTATCGCTGTATACCCTTTTCAACATCTTTGAAACGCTTGGTTAATGTTCTTTACCATGCAGCATCCTCGCTTACCGCTTTCTTGTGAATGTGCTTGTACCGTCGGTGATAAGACCATTTCAAACGTGGTGACGTTCTACAACCAGTGCATGTTCTGCAACCAGATGCTCTGCTAGCGCGAAACAGGGTGTACTGAACACGAGTCAGTCTGCCCAGTGACCTTTCATGGCCTTCGAGAATATTATGGAATGCCTGCCCATGTACTTTACAGTAAAGCCTCCAGCTGATTGGGCCGGCGAGTCGCAAAGTGCCCCACGTTGTGTCTTTCACTGTAGCGGAAAGAAAGGGCTGATCTGGCTGCTGGCGGCACTTTTGACGGGCAATGTCCACGTGGCAACAACAAGTTCCTCCTTTAGCTCGCACTTTGACCCCCACGTTTCCAGTTTTGGGGCTTCTATCCTACAGTAACAACTGTGCAGTTCTTGGCTTTCCAAACCCCAACACCAGACTCTCAACTCGACTCGACTTGACCCCCAAATGCATTGCCCTTGCCATAACCCCCTGTTGAACCGCTTCTGTAGTACCCTTCTTCCCACCCATCTCCCCCCCTCCCTTCCAAAACCTCACTTCCCCGCCAGTGCTTCTGTTTCCTCTCTCCTTTCCTCCCTGTGCTATCGAAGGGGGGCGGGCCAATGGACACGCGCTTGCGCACGCTCATAGCAATGCTCCGCTACGGTACCACCACCCGCACTTGACTTATCCTCCACATCCATAACCATCTTGGTGACGCTCTCTCCCAGATCCCTCGGACTCCTACTCTCAGAAACCCCAGTCCATTCCTCGTCCGCTACGCGTCCGTTTCACCACCTAAGTCCACTCCAACGTCCACCATGTGTCATGGTCAGAGACTCTTGGGCCCTGCCGTTTCGCTCGAACCCGTTCCGAGCTCGTCAACCATTCCTCATCACGCTGCGGTTGTCGCAGCAGAGCTTTTTGATCACCTTCGCTGCGACCCGTGGTCGTCGCTGTCGTCGCAGTCGTCGCCGTCGTCGCACTTGTGGTTTCCGAATAAGCTCACTACCTGTCACCGACCTGATACTACCGATGCCGGCGGTAGCAGTAGCTGTTGCACCATCAGCAGAGATGACGCAGCAGCCAACGCAAATGCCGCCGCCGACGCTGGCGCTGGCACTGTCGCTACTGTGACTGCCAATACCGCTGCTGCCAATCGTGCACGGGCCAAGGCTGGCGGGTTGGTGGGCCTAGCGGATCCCGACGGGTCGAAGCGCGAGGGAAGCGAGGCTGCCGCCACGTCGGCTGCAGCGGCGGCGGCGGCGGGCGCGGCGACGTTAGAGCGAGGCGCGAAGGATCAACATAGCGTCGCGGCGGCACAGGCGGCGGTACAGGCGGCGGTACAGGCGGCGCACGCAGAGTGGCCGGATCGCTTGCTCGAGAGCTGGTCGTCGCGTGCGGAAGATGAAGGGGAGCGCTGGTGGCGGAAGGCCCCCCCGCAGTGGGGAGAGGTCTTGTGGAGCCACTGCTCCGCGCGCAATGGCGTTTGCGCCGACACCACCGCCAGCGGCGGCGGTGGCGGCGGCGGTAAAAGTATTTACGAGGTCGCGCCGGAGAATCCGACCAGTGCCGCCGGTGGCAGTGCTTCTGGCGAGCTGTTGATCGACGCGGTGCTCGCGGCGTGCAACGCGGCGTGCAATGCGGGGGGACGTGAGCGGAAGCTTTCCGCCGGAGAGCGAACGGGTGAGCCGCAGGCGGCGCGACGAGCCGGCGCGGCAGTTGCGGGCGGCGCTTCCGTCCCCGCCAACTCCGCGGCCGCCCTCGCCGTTTCTGCCTCCGCGAGTGCCGCCGGCGCAGCGGCCGCGTTTCCCGGCATGATTCCGTCCTTGACTGAGGAAATAGAGGCGTGCGTGGCGAGACGAGAGTTGGCGGAGACGGCGGCGGAGGCGGCGGAGGCGGCGGAGGCCGCGGGGCGACCACCGCAGCAGCCGTTCGTGTCGTCGTCGCTCGCGGAGGTCGCGGCTGCTCTGGAGAGGGAGAGCGACGGGCCGGGGAGCCATGGATGTGGTATTGGCGGCGGCGGCGGCGGTGGCGACGTGCGGCCGGCGACCATGGCGGAAGGAGGTGGAACCGCGGGAAGGGGGGGGAAGAGGCGCCGATGGTGCGACGTGGCTCTCGCGCTTGGAGGGAATGGCGTCAACAGCGGTGGCGCAGCGACAGCGGCGCCGGTGGGTGCGGCGGCGGATCTGTGGGGTTGGGGTTCGGAGAAGCTTGGACAGCAGCAGCGCGCAGCGTCGCTGGAGGTAAGCAGCAGCGCTGTGGTGTGTTGTTCGCGCTGCGTCACGCCGCTTCACACCGCTCCACACCGCTTCACGCCGCTTCATGCCGCCTGGGATGTGGGTTTGTCCAATTAACGATTTCTCTTGTGCCTGGCAGGATCAGCTAGAGGACCTCATGCAAGCCTGCCAACCGCAGAAGCAACAGCAGCAGCAGCAGCAGCAGCAGCAGCAGCAGCAGCAGCAGCAGCAGCAGCAGCAGCAGCAGCAGCAGCAGCAGCAGCAGCAGCAGCAGATAGAGACGCAGCCTCTTCACACCGCTCCTTCCCCCATGGCTGCTTCAGCCCCCTGCCTCATTTCCCCCTCCTCCGCCTTCACCACCTCCTTCCCCGGCGGCGGCGCCTTCTCCGCCGCTCCCTCACCCTCCGCGCCGTTCCCGCCGTCGCCTCCCCCCGCCTGCCCTTGCTCGGGGCTGTGCGCGGCTGCCCCCTGCTGCTCGGGGTCGCTGTGCATGCCTGCGCACCCACCTTGGAGCTTGCACGGAACTTTGGAGCAGCAGCAACAGTTTCAGCAGTTGCAGCAGCATCAGCAACTGCAGCAGCAACAGTTTCAGCAGTTGCAGCAGCATCAGCAACTGCAGCAGCAACAGTTTCAGCAGTTGCAGCAGCATCAGCAACTGCAGCAGCAGCAGTTGCAGAAGTATCAGCAAATGCAACAGCAGCAACAGCAGCAGCAGCAGCAGGGCGGGCAGTGGGCGGGCATGGGGCGATGGATGAGCTCCCTGACTGGCCACGCATGGTTGCACCAGCACCAGCATCACCACCATCACTATCACCACCACCATCAGCAACAGCAGCAGCAGCAGCAGCAGGAGCGCGCCAGTTTCTCTCGCGCTGCTTCCTCTCACAGTCTCACCACTCCGTTCAACCCCCCCTCGTTTCCCCATCTCAACGCCCGCGAGCGTCCCCCCATGGGAGCACCGGAGCAGCCCTGCTTCTCGAGCCTGTTCCCCGTGCCTGTGCCTTCCAGACGAGCTCAGCTGCCTCGGGCCCGTACCTCCGCGTTCGCGGCTGAGGCTGCGGCTGGGCTGAGGAGCGGGCGAGGGAGGGGCGTGGCAATGGCTGCCGCATCAGAAAAGGAGAACAAGCGGATTGCGGCGGCCGCGCTGCAGTGGCAGCTGCAGCAGGAGAAGCAACAGCAAGAGAAGCAACAGGAAGCGAAAGTGCTGCCAGGAATGCCAGCTACGCTGGGAGTGCAATCCGTGCTGCCAGCTGCGCCGCGTGCACCCACCGAATCCACCGCACCTGCTGCTGCTGCTGCGCCTGAGCGCGTGTGGCGGATTGATGGCCGAAACTACTTCCCCCTGTGGAACGACCAGCAGCAGCAGGGTGTGAGGCGGCACAAGCGGTTCAGGCTGGTGGGTGCGAGCAGCCAGAGCGGAGCATCGGCAGGGGGGTCCGTCACAGTGGGGGACAAGCTCTCCTTCGCTGCTGCTGCTGCGGCAGCTCCAGCACACGCTCCAGACGCAGCAGGAGCAGCAGCAGAAACAGGAACAACAGGAGCAGCTGCGGTGGCGGCTGCGTGTGGCAGTGGAGCATTGGATCTGCAGTGCACAGAGGTCATGTGAACGAAGGTGAGCGCTTGCTGCTGTTGATGCACCCTCCCGCCTCCTGCTCTCCTGAACTTTGACCTGCAGAGGTGTCCTGGACTTCATCCTGTAGCTTTTTAAGGCGAACCAGACTTCCCTAAACCCTAAACTGTACATTCGTAGTTTCATCTTGAGTGATTGCGTGCCCTCCTGACTGCTTCTCCTGGCTGTTTTGATTTGATGAATGCAGGTTACAATCTCTTCAGAGCTGTCACCACACCACCATTACCGCACCATCCCCTCTGCCTCCATTCGTCTGCTTCACCAGTGCTCCTGCGTCTGCTCCTGCACCTATCTAGCCCCTTTTCTGCACAAGACTTCTTCTACTCCTTCCTTGTTCCGTTGCGCCGGCGTTGACTAATCCGTCTATCCATCACAGTCACAGCCCACCCACACTCACAGCTCCCTCAGCTACTGTCAGAGAGAGAAATGTGAGAGAGGAGAGAAAGAAATAGAGGGATATAGAGTCATCGGCAATCATTCTTGTGCCACCATACCATCTCTGCTCAAATGCACCACCGATGCACCCAACTCGTAGAGGAAGCCTTGCGATGGTAAGACTAGTGAATCGTCGTCGGATCGAGCCTCTTCTAGTCAAGCCTAAGACGCAAAAGACGAGTGTGTTTAGGCGTATGTGTGTGTGTGTGTCCCCGCAGCCTCGTCCACCCATTCTTTGGTCCCTCCATTCATGGGACTCCTATTCGTTGGCGCTCTTTTAGGCTTTACATTCCATCCGTTCTCGCACACCCATTCTTTCGTTCGTGGACCAGCCTTGACCCTGTGCTCCTGCTTCCGTCTCGCCACTCCTCCCTCACCAAACCATCTACCCACCATCCCACCTCCTCACATCGCTCGCAAGGCCAGCCAGCGCGCTGCCAACAGCCATGCCCGCTCGTCTCCATTGCCGTTCCTGTCCCCGGTCTCAATCCTTCTCCTGCTCCTGCTCCTGCTCCTTCTCCTTCTCCTTCTCCTTCTCCTTCTCCTGCTCCTGCTCCTGCTCCTTCTCCTGCTCCTGCTCCTGCTCCTTCTCCGGTCCCTTCTCTCCATCGTAGTCACCACTGCTGCTGCCACTGCTTCTGCTCTCTCCTGCTCTGCAGATCCTGCCTGCAGCAGCACCACCACCAGCAGCAGCAGCATCATGACCATTATCTGTGTGGTTGTCGTCGCTGCCACTGTTACTGCCTCTGCCATCGTGCTACACCTTCCCATGGAGGCTTTTCCATGCCTCCCACATGTGCGTGCCATCCGCAGGTGGGTGTCCATCTGGCTGGTCACCGACAGCTGTCCGCGCAGCTGCATACTTCTGTAGCCCCTGTATTCCCATAGCCTTATAGCTCCATAGCTCTATTCGTCTACAGCCACATAGCCCCATAGCACTTGCCCCAGACCCTTCATAGCCTCATAGCCCCAAGACTTCGTAGCTTCGTTCCTCTGTAGTTTGAGAGCGTCCAGGCCGCCAAGCACCGCACCTGTCTTGATGGCTTTGCCACCATCATCACCATTACCACTGCCACCAATACCACTGCCACTATCACCGTCACCACCATCACCACCACCACCATGGCTCAGGCCGGCTCCATTCTGGAATCTTCACCGCTCTGCATTCTTCACGCTCTGTATCCCCCTGCAGATTTCCTTGCCCCTGTGCTGTCCATGCACACTACATGTCAGTCAACCTCTATGCGGCCGTGCCACAGTTCTGCGTGTTTGCTGTGCAGTGCTGTGCTGTGCTGCGCGGTTCTGTGCGGTTCTGTGGGCCGGCTGTAACAGTCAGTTACAGTAACCTACACTGGTTGCGAGCGGCTACTCTGGGTGGGGAGGAGGCAGGGTGGGGAGGGAGCTTTGTAGAGAGCATGTGTAGTGCAGAGCGCTGTGTTGTGTAGTGCGGAGCACTGAAGTGTTACCTTCAGGTGCGGAGCATAGGCAGGCTTAGTGGTATTGTAGGCCTTGGCTGTTGCTAGGCGGATCTTTGAGAACCTTACATGTTCATCATGGTTATTATACCTGGCATGGCATGCTGCTGGTTGCCTACCTGTTAAATTGCAAGTGTTACCGGTACCGGTATTGCTAAGTGACACGGTAGGTACAACAACAATCGTGGCCTTACGGTAGCTGTTCAGATCTAGTGGGGTACCACCAGGCTACCAGATCTAGTGGGGTACCACCAGGCTGTCCAACTATATATGTGTTAGTTCAGTGTAGGCTATAGTGGGGTAGCCCATATGGGGTACAACCCGAGGTTAGGGTTAGTACTTGTAACCACATTTGATTCAATGCAATCATCACTGCTTGCTATCTTGACATGGTTTCAGAGCAGTAGGTCTGTAGGGCCGTTTTTTTTCGGGCCCACCTTACTTAGCTTCCGACTACGGTTACCGCGTTACCCCACTACCCTGCGTCGCGCTGCCCTGCGCACGCCCTGCCTTGCCCCGCGTCGCGCTGCCTAGCGCACGCCCTGCCCTGCCCTGCCTGGCGTCACCCTGCGCCAGCGCCTTGCCCTGCGCCGGTGCCCTGCCCTGCGCCAGCGCCCTGCCCTGCGCCAGAGCTCTGCCCTGTGCCGGCGCCCTGCCCTGCGCCAGCGCCCTGCCCTGTGCCAACGCCCTGCCATGCGCCAGCGCCCTGCCCTGTGCCAGCGCCCTGCCCTGCGCCAGCGCTCTGCCCTGCGCCAGCGCCCTGCCCTGCGCCAGCGCCCTGCCCTGCGCCAGCGCCCTGCTCTGCGCCTGCGCCCTGCCCTATGCCTGCGCTGCGGCCCTGCGCGTCGCGCCCTACGGCAGCCCGCGCGTCGCGCGCTGCTGCCCTGCGCCTCGCGCTCTGCTGCAGCCCGCGCGTCGCGCCCTAAGGCAGCCCACGCGTCGCGCGCTGCTGCCTCGCGTGTCGCGCTCTGCTGCAGCCCGCGCGTCGCGCCCTAAGGCAGCTAGTCGCGTCGCGCTCTGCTGCCCCTTGCGTCACGCGCTGCTGCAGCCTGCGCCAGCGCCCTGCCCTGCGCGCGCTGGTGCCGTGCCCTGCGCCAGCACCCACCCTTGCGCCCGCGCCCTGCCCTGCGCCAGCGCCCTGCCCTACACCAACACCCTACTAAACCCTAAATAAAATTAAAAAATATATATATAGTTTTTTTTAAAAGGGCCCAATGTGCTTCTGCCCTAGGAGCTATTACCTACTACTGCCATGCTGTGGCCGCGCACCGCCCTGCTCTGGCTGCACACCGCCCTGCTCTGACCGCGTGCCGCCCTACTGCTCTTACTGCTGCTGCTACTACTCGTGCTACTGCTTTCACTCCGTACTGCCTTAGAGGTCGCGCTCCTTCTAGCTTGCCCGCCATGACTTCCCTTTGTCGTACCCGTGGGAGTGGTGACGGCGGTGGTGGCAGTAGTGGGAGTGGTGGCGGCCGTAGTCGCAGTCATTGTGACGCTGTTTGGTGCGGAGTGTCTGGCAGTGGCCAGATGCAGCTACGGCGGCGTCCGACCCTTACGCCCCGGCAGCTTCGTGAGTGGCTTTACCAGCGTGGGTCGTCTCCGAGTCCGGGTCCCTGCCCGTACATCATTCGCACAGGTCATCAAGATGGTGAGACCTGTGGGACACCTGGTCACGCACAATCCCGCTGTTTCGCCTATTTGACTGACGCCTGGCGCACAGAGTTTGGCGACGAGGCTGAGATCCCCCCCTGGCTTGAGCTGCTTAGGTCGGGCGTTGCTGTCTTTGCTTTAGACTATGGGTACATTCCGCTGTGGACACATGTCCCGATCGACGTGTCCCAATCGAGTGTACCGCTCCGAACCGAACTAAACCAGAGACGCAAAAATTTTGAAACTAGGGTGCAATTTGGTGTAATACGATGCAGTGCGGTAGAAACGATTGGGACACATCGATTGGGACATGTGTCCAAAGCGGAATGTACCGTAGACGCCATCCTTAGTGCCATGTCTGCTTTGCCTGGTGGTGCTGAGCGTGACTGACACTTGTGCGTGCAGTACGACCTCGGTATAGAGGTTGGTGCTCTTGGTGCTAGTGAGGCTGCTGCCTTAGGTGCTAGCGAGTCTGGTTCCTCAGGTACTGCGCCTGCTGAGGCCTTGCACACCTTCACGCTTGACTCAGGTGCTTCCCGCTATTTCTTTCGTGACAGTACTGCACTCACACCACTCACTGCACCTGTTGCAGTCTCTCTGGCTGACCCCTCAGGGGGCCCAGTTCTTGCACGGTCCACCACTGTGCTTCCGTGCCCGGCGGTTCCGTCTGGCTCACTGACAGGCTTCCACCTCCCCTCGTTCTCTACGAACTTGGTGAGCAACGCAGTTCTCCTGGTTGTCGACGACTACTCGCGGTACACCACGGTCTTCCCCTTGCGCACCAAGGGTGAGGTCCCTGCTGTCCTGATCCCTTGGATCCGAGCAGTTCGTCTCCGGCTCCGCCGCAGATTCCGCCAGGACCTTCCTGTCCTGCGTCTGCACTCAAACTGGGCGAGGGCATCGAGAAGTCGTTCACGCTTCTAGGTTCACCACAGCAAAATGGGGTTGCTGAGCACCGCATTGGCTTAGTCATGGAGGTCGCTCGTACCTCCTTGTTCCATGCGGCGGCTCCCCATTTTCTGTGGCCGTTTGTGGTTCGGTACGCCGTCAGCAGCTCAACATCTGGCCCCGTGTCTCCTTGCCGGAGACCTTGCCCACACTGCGTTGGACGGGGGAGGTTGGCGATGCGTTGCGTTTCCGGGTCTGGGGTGCTCGTGCCCTTGTCCGCGATACGTTCGCGGACAAGCTCTCCTCCCGCACCATTCCCTGTATCTTCCTTGGCTTTGTCCCTGACGCGCCTTGCTGGCAGTTTTACCACCCCACCTCGCGCCGTGTCTTCCCCTCTCAGGACGTCACCTTTGACGAGTCGGTTCCTTTCTACCGTCTCTTCCCCTACCGCACTGCCCATCTCCCTCCCCCGCCGCTTTTCCTCGCTCCAGGTCCCCCTCCGGTAGACCCCCTACCCCCTCAGGGTCCTGCTCCTTCAGGTGTGTCTCTGGTAGACCCGCCCCCCTTGGCTGAGCCTGTAGAGGTCACTAGTGACTCAGGTGCTGCTGGGGGTGCTGATTGTGAGGGTGCTGAGTCTGCTGGCGTTCCTCTGGGTCTTGTTTCACGACGCGGGCCTGTCTCACCACAACAGGCACCAGAGTGGCTTGTGTCGCGTACCCGCCTGAGGAGTCGTGCTGCTGGAGCTGCTTGTCGTGGAGGCGCTGGGAGTGCTGGTGTCTCTGGTCCTGGAGGTGCTCCTACTGGAGGTACTGGAGCTGCCGGGACTAGTGCTACTCTTGGAGCCGGAGGTGTCGGTTCCGGGGGTGCTGCTGCTGGAGGTACTGGGGCTAGAGGCCTTGGAGCTGGTGCTGTCAACCCTGGAGTTGGAGACCCTGGAGCTGGAGGTGCCGGTTCTGAGGGTGCTGCGGCTGGAGGTACTGGGGCTGGAGGCCCTGGAGCTGGTGTTGTCGACCCTCGAGCTGGCGGTGCTGAGTCTACTGGCGTTCCTCTGGGTCTCGTTTCACGACGCGGGCCTGTCTCTGTCAAATTATAATATTGTGTAGGCTATAGTGGGGTAGCCTAAATGGGGTACACATTTCTAGGGTTGCATATTTGTATCACTTCCATTCCTTAGTCATTCATTCTCGTTCTATTTTCCTCATGGTATCGAGCAAGTTCCCCCATGGGAACTGTGCCTAGGGCCCACCACATCGATCTTTTTTTTTTTTCCAGCCCGAAGCGCGCTCAGCCCGAGTCGCGCTCCGGGCTCTCACCTCTTCGAGCCGCCCTTCTCAGCGGCCCCGCCGCCCTTCTCAGCGGCCCCGCCGCCCCACATTGCGGCCCCGCCGCCCTTCTTCGCGGCCCTGCCGCCCTTCGCTGCGGCCGCGCCGCCCCTCGCTGTGGCCCCGCCGCCGTTCGCTGCGGCCCTGCCGCCCGTCTCAACGGCCCCGCCGCCCTTCTTCGCGGCCTCGCCGCCCTTCGCTGCGGCCCCGCTGCCTCACGTTGCGGCCCCGCCGCCCTTCGCTGCGGCCCCGCCGCCCGTCTCAGCGGCCCCGCCGCCCGTCTCAGCGGCCCTGCCGCCCGTCTCAGCGGCCCCGCCGCCCTTCACTGCGGCCCCGCCGCCTCTCTCGCTGCGGCCCCGCCGCCCTACTCAGCGGCCCCGCCGCCCTTCACTGCGGCCCCGCCACCTCTCTCGCTGCGGCCCCGCCGCCCTACTCAGCGGCCTCGCCGCCCTTCATTGCGGCCCCGCCGCCTCTCTAGCTGCGGCTCCGCCGCCCTACTCAGCGGCCCCGCCGCCCTTCTACTGCGGCCCCGCCGCCCTTCTACTGCGACCCCGCCGCCCTTCTCAGGGGCCCCGCCGCCCTTCTCAGCGGCCCCGCCGCCCTTTACCAGCGGCCCTGCCGCTCCTTCACTGTGGCCCCGCCGCCCCTTTCACCAGCGGCCCTGCCGCCCTACACCACCCGCACCGCGCGAGCCGCCCGAACCGCCCGAGCCGCCCGAGCTGCCCGACCTACCCGAGCCGCCCGAGCCGCCCGAGCCGCCCGACTCTCCCGGGCCGCCCGAGCCGCCCGACCAGCCCGAGCCACCCGAGCCGCCCGAGCCGCCCGAGCCACCCGAGCCGCCTGAGCCGCCCCAGCCGCCTGAGGAGCCGAGCCGCTGGTGCCACGGAGCCGCAGTTACTGCTGTGCCGTCCAAGCAGCCGTGTTGCCGTGCTGCTATACTGCTGAGCTGCCCAACCCGCCCTCTCTGGTGAGAGCAGCGCTTCTGTCACTACACTGCCCTTGTCCTACAGTTGGTACTGCTAGTCTACTGCTGTCATGGCTACCCCCAGTGTTCTCGCTTTTGACGCTGAGGGTC